CTCTGGGTTCAATGAGATACTATCTCAAAAACTAACGAAGGAAGAAAGGAAGAGAGGAAGACAGCACATTGGCTTGTGACTTCTACACAAACAAGCAGGGTTAACATGACTTCACACATGTGTGCATAACACACACACACACACACACACACACACACACACAGAAACACAGAAGAATGGAAGACTTTCTACCCCACTGCTGTAAAATGTGCCAGTGCTTCCTGTCAGGCTGTGTTATGATTATACAAGTGCTGTCCTCTCAGAAGTCTGCGAGTCCCTGTCATTTAAAATGATAATCACAATGTAAAGTTAACATGTGGGAACCAAGACTATTCTTGCTCTCAGGGCTCATGTGCCCCGGCTGACCACCACACAACTTCCTTAGCATTGAGAGGTTGATTCTCATCAGGTTGCTGCTTTGGTCTTTCCTTCTTTGGAACCCCCTAAGTAAAGTCATAAGTAGCCATGCAATTTAGTAGAGCCAACAAAGCCAGTCTGTTTGGTGTGTGTGTGTGCCCTGCAATTCAGCCTGCTATTTTCCCTTTCTCGAGAAGGTGGTAGTTAAAAGAAACATGAAGTTAGCATCGCCAGTGCCATCCACAAAGCCATTTCCCATGGTCCCACGCCACAGATATGACTCTGCTCTGGGATCAAGCACACACCAGACATTAAGGAGTGACTGACATAACCGGCTCATTCATTCTATGCTCTCGGAAGGCCAACTCAGAATGGAGAGAGTAGACGCACATGGAAATCTGTGCAGTGCTATGGCTTGGGTGCGGTTTGTTCCAAACGGTCCATGGACTTAAAGTCTGGTCACTAAGGGAATGTTTAAGGGGGGAGGGTTTTCTGGGAGAAATTAGTAAGTCCCACAGGAGTGTTATTTTAAAAGAGCCTGCCTGGCCTACTCCCTGGCTTCCTGTCTTGCCCTGAAAAATCTCTCATACACACTCTCACCATCATGCCATCAACACAGTGACACAACCATGGGAATCCTTGTCAGAGATGACACTGGAATGCTTATCTGGTCTTCAAAACCATGTGCTAAGTAAATTGTATGTGCTTGTCTTTAAGTGTATTCTGACAAAAATTTTATTAAGTACTTACTGATTAAGGAAATAAAAACATTATATTAGAAGAAGAAAAAAACAAGATCTCCTGAGTAAATTGGGTGTGTGTGGAGAGTCACAGGAAAGGGTAGAAAGAGAAAGGGGAGGAAGGGAGGGAAACAGGAAAAATGTATAGCTCAATAAAAATAATTTTTAAAACAAAGCAGTCAGGAAAATTTAAAAAAGGAAAAAAAAGGAAAAACAGCTATATTTATTTACTTACTTTAAGGCAGAATCATACTATGTATCAAAGGCTGTCCTCAAAATCATGATCCTCCTGCCTCAGCTTTCTAAGTGCTCTGATTATCAGGCATGTCCAAACCGAGTGAAAACAGAAGTTTTAAAGCAGAAAGCTGACCTAACAACGGAGTTAAAGTCAGTGTCTACAACAGAACAAGCGAGCATCCTGAGCCTTCCTAGATGGTGCAGAGAAAGGGGCATCTGCACCCAGCACCATGGGGCCAAAAGCATTCCTACGGAACTTGAATCCGATGAAAGGAGACAGAGTCCTACATTGGAGCACCGCACTGAAATCTCAAGGTCCAAATCAGGAGCAGAAGGAGAGAGAGCACGAGCAAGGAACTCAGGACCGCGAGGGGGGTACCCACACACTGAGACAATGGGGATGTTATATCGGGAACTCACCAAGGCCAGCTGGACTGGGTCTGAAAAAGCCTGGGGTAAAACCGGACTCGCTGAACATAGCGGACAATGAGGACTACTCAGAACTCAAGAACAATGGCCATGGGTTTTGATCCTACTGCACGTACTGGCTTTGTGGGAGCCTAGGCAGTTTGGATGCTCACCTTACTAGACCTGGATGGAGGTGGGTGGTCCTTGGACTTCACACAGGGCAGGGAACCCTGATTGCTCTTTGGGCTGACGAGGGAGGGGGACTTGATTGGGGGAGGAGGAGGGAAATGGGAGGCGGTGGAGGGAAATGGGAGGCGGTGGCGGGGAGGAGGCAGAAACCTTAAATAAATAAATAAATAAATAAATAAATAAATAAATAAGGAGAGCACAGTCTACATAAAATGTTCTGCATTACGCTATTGGTGTATATCCTTCTAAAGCAGAGAAAGCTGAAGAGTATAACAGAGTGAAGAGGACTTGGGAGATATGACACCTCAAGGTGATCCTGGACCACAGAAGAAAGCAGCGGGAATGTAAAGCCTGTATATTAGATAGCAACACCGAGTCAGTGTTGATATCCAGACTTCCATTATTGCATTTATGATTACATTGTAGAATACCCTCATGTTTAATGAATGCATAGTGGAGGTATTTGTTTACTTACTTAATGCTGTTGGGAGAAAAAAAAATACAGACCTCAGAAAGGAATGTATTTGTAACTCGGTCTGCAAATACCCACGTGTATGTGTGTGAATGTGCACGTATGTCGACAGATAAGAAGAGAAGGGAGAGTGGAAAGCATGGGGCAGCTGGAAAGCTATTTTTACAGCTTCATGCTAAATTTTAAAAAGGTTGGTGAGTTTTGTTTTGTTTGTTTAGTTAACTTTGAAGAGAAAAAAAAATTGCCAATTGAGCCTAAGCTTGTTGCGGGGGTTGGAGGGGACAAACAATGCCTTCTATCTCCTTTCCCCACGAACCCCAACCCTGAGAAGCACCAGCCTATCCTGGGGGTCCCTGAAAGCTTCTCTGGGAGACACCAACAGACACCCTGGAGCCTGACACGGGGCTGGAGATACTGGGGCTCAGGAAATAGTCAGCGAACCAACGGGCAACAGAAATACAATGGAAAGGGTAAGGAACCCCACTTTTGTGGTAGTATGAGTGGCAGTCATGGGCAGAATTGCAGGGGTGGAGACTCAGGCCTAGCCCTACTCTTGGGTATTCCTTTAAGTGAGGAAGAGGAGAACGGCACAGCTGCCTCTGGGCAGACTTAACTGGCCTTGCACCCCTGGACTGGGTGAGGAGGGTGGCATTCAGGTACTGAATGTCCCAGGATCCAAGGTTTCTGCTGGATCATACACAAACTATTTCATACACAGAGATAAGAAAACCATGATGCCTAAGATAACATTAAGAATGGGAATTGCTCCTTATTCGGTAAATCCTTCCTCAGGTAAACAAAGTCTCGTCACATTCCGTTCCTAATTTTCAAGCCAACTTTTAAAACGCATGTGGACTTTGCACATGAGGTTTGAAAGAAAATGCACGCTAATTGCCAAAGTTCAAGATAGTTGCTTAACAGACGAAAGAACCGTGACTTTGCTTTTAAAACGTAGCAAATTCAAACTGTCCCAACATACTACTTTTCTAGAAAAATAGTCTAAATAGAAATAAATATGTACATATTATTCACAAGCCACTATATGTCCCTATGCCACACAAAAGGAAGAGCCTGAAAGAAATGTGATTTTTCTAACGACCCGAGATATAATTTCAATCAAGAACACTATGGTATAATATTCTAAGGTAACATTTCAAAGAAAAATTAAACAGAGTGTGGTGATTTAATAAAAATGCTCCCCATAGATGCACAGGGAGTGGCCCTATTGCAATGTGCGGCCTTGTTGGACTAGGTGTGGCCTTGTTTAACTGTGTCAGTAAGGAGTGGGCCTTAGGGTTTCAAATGCTGATGTCAAGCCCAGTGTCACTCTCTCTCTTCTTGCTGCCAGCCTGTCTGGATACAGAACTCTCAGCTCTCTCTCCAGCATTAGGTCTGCCGGCATGCCCCCAGACTTCACACCATGAAGATAGTGAACTAAACCTCTAAACTGTAAGCCAGCTCCAACTAAATGTGTTCTTTCCTAAGAGTTACCATGGTCATGGTGTCTCTTCACAGCCACAAAAACCTTGAAAGAGACACAGAGTAAACCATGGCCCATAACAGAAGGTAAGACTCCAAACCACACACTGAATTGCACAAAAATTCACATAAGAGCGTATTTAACAAGGAATGTAATTTTCCAAGCGCCTCTAGCTGAGGCTGTTATGCTTGCTGGTAGGGTCCTGATTCTCAATCTAGTTGAGAATGAGTTCTATGGCAGACCAACATCACAATGGAGGGGAAGAGGCGAAATAACCTAAGCACTGAATTATAAACCAGGAACCCACAAAGGGCCTAAGGCAAGTTGGCAGAGCTGCCTCTCCTTCTCCGTTATTTAGCACGTCTGGGAGAGCTAATACTATGGAGGTCAGTTCCTGCCTCCTACTTAATTAATAAAGACAGCTATTTAACTTGATGTCAGTGTCTTGGTTGTCTTCTCTTAATTTGTACCCAATATTTCTCAGTTCCCACATCTCATGCCAAACCACCTCATGTCGTCACATGGGAGACCTGTATTTGTCACTACTTCCTGCTAGGGTCTCCCAGGAGAACACTGCTACACAGCTCAAAAAGGACCAGGTGCAAGAAAGGTATTAGACGACCCCCCCCCCAAAAGTGGGAGCTGGCTTTTGCTCCTAAGGGTTCAAGCATGCTTTCTCTCCCAGACACGATCTGCTTTAAGACTACCCATGCCAAAGAAAATAGCAAGTAAGCCAATTTTGACTTAAGAGTACTCCAAGGGAGAAGTCACCCATGGAGCTCACAGGACCTCAAGCTGCATGCAGATAAGAGATGACATGTTCTTCCTTTAGACACATTTAATTGATCTGTGTTCTCAAGCGGCAGCCTCTCGCCGTCCTGCATAAAAGCTTCTATCTAGGGCTAACCCTGAGTTGCTCCACACGTGGGATGCCAGTGGCGGGTCAATAAAAATCTAGCCATTGAATAGCGTTGCCTGAGAGCAGATACTGAACCAAAGGATACTGTGACAGATTAGAAACAGGAGCCTCGGGCTTGGTCACGGGCTCCTTGTGTTATCACCAATGAAAAATGCAGGAGCATGACTTCTTGGTCCCCATCCAATTGGTTTTCCTTACCTTTGGTTCCATGGAGATGAAACTGTGGGTTCCTCTGCTCGAGAGAACAGACCGTTTAAAGGTCCTACTATGGTAGAAGTGATAGTAGTCCTTCAGTGCGCCGATCTGCAGAGACAGGCGGGGGAAAGCACAGGGCAACATGTTAATGTCTGAGGACAGCCTGCTTCCTTGGTTTTCATTAAAGTAAGAACACAAAACAAAAAGGCCCATAAATTATGCAGCCGCCTGATATACTTAAATGTCACTTGAACCTTGGTGGTCACTTTTCAAAAGAAGGACACCCGATATGAAATATGAGTGTCCTTCAGGCAGTGACTGCAGAACTAAAGATTCTATTGGGGCAGTTAGCTTCTCCATATCGCCTGTTTAATGTTTAATTTATATGCAGCATTTTAAATAATGCTATATCAATCTACATCCAAATGTGGGGAAGAGGGAAAAAGTCAAATAGCTCTCTAGTTATAAAAAACACATTGCATTCTGTTTGCCGAGAGACGGACAGTGAAGGGCATTGATGGGTTATTTACACAGTTAATTTGAAACATGTCTTACGCAGCTGATTATTCTCAGAGATAGCAGCACTACTTAGATCGGGAGACAGGAGGCGCAGCCCTCAAGTGAAGCAGTAACTTCTAGAACAATCTTTGAGTTCAGCTTTTGGGGATAAATGCTTTAATCTACTTTACTTTATTCTTGTCTCTTAACATGATTTCATTTTCTTTTTATTCTTTCTCAGTTAAAACCAGTAGGTATGAAAGTATGCCCAGCCCACTTCGATAATGAAATGAAGAAAACATTCAACAACTGTGTTCTCATAGCGAAGGGGATGGTAAAGTGCTTGACACATAACATGAGGACATGAATCTGGAGTCCCAGCACCAAAGTACAAGTGAGGTGGCAT